CTGAGTAGCTGAGACTACAGGCACATGCCATCCCACCCAACTAATTTTTGTATTTTTTTAGTAGAGACAGGGTTTCACAGTATTGGCCAGGATGGTCTTGATCTCCTGACCTCATGATCCACGTGCCTCGGCCTTCCAAAGTGCTGTCATTACAGGTGTGAGCTAGCAGGCCCAGCCCCACCCCACCCCCTTTTTTTTTATTATTGGTAGAGACAGGGTCTTACTATGTCACCTGGCTGGTCTCAAACTCCTGGGCTCAAGCAATTCTCCTGCCTCAACTTCCCAAAATGCTGAGATTATAGGTGTGAACCACCACGCCTGGCCTAAGTATGGACCTTTCAAAATTTTTATAGAAATTTTTCATATTCTTGGCCTCATAATTCTACTTCTGAAGCTCCACACAAGACATGAGCAAAGATGTATGTATCAAAATGTTCATTCCAGCCTTACTGATGATAGCAGAAGGCAGAAAACAATGACAAGACCTAAGATGAGGGAGTGACTAAGAGCAGAGGCCGGAAGGTGAAGTACTTGAGAGTGGGAACTCCTGAGCCTGAGGCTGGGTGTGAATCGTGTTCTGTTACTACCTAGTTGTGTGGGCAAGTGAGGACTGAAGCTCTCTGTGTGATAGTTTTTCTATCTGTAAAGTGAGGATTATTGCAGTACCAAACTCATAGGATTGTGAGCGTCAAGGAGCTTATAATATAAAGTATTTAGAACAGTGCCTAGCACACCGTAAGCATTGAGAGATGTTAGTGGCTATTATTATTGTAGCTATGGAAATGTGGTTTATAGGTTTTTATTGAACATGAAAATGATCATAAAGTTAAGAACATATTATCAGTATGTTCTGAGTTACATAAAACAATGCACATAAAAGGAAGGAAACACCTCAAAATGTTCTCAGTTATCTCTGGGTGGGGGCCCTTGAGTAATTTTTATTCTTTCTTTTAAGTTGTTTGCAAGTTTTCTATAGAGAACTTGTATCACTTTCGTAACTAGAGGAGAATATTTGTATCTATCTGAAATAGATATTTGAATTTCTCAAGGGGAAATTTCCCTTGAAGACCTTTAATGATAGAGGATTAGGCTGTGAAGCTGGAACTATAGAATGCGCTAGAGCTCCGTTGTTGAGTAAAGGTAGAAGTGAGTTTGAAGTTAGTTGTTCTGTGTAGTGTTCAGTGCATGTTCTGAGAGATGCTTTCTCTTATGGTTCAAGGGACCTCTTTCTCAAAGGTCCCTTGAATGAGTGACTGCAATTGTGCCCATTTTGCTGCTGACAAAATCAGCGCTTAAAGATGAAATCCTCTGCCCGGGGCCGCACGGCTGGTGAGGGGCTGCGCACCTTGGCTTGCCTCCCAAGCCCTCCAAACCTGTGCTGTGGTGTCACTCCAGCGTTGGGACTTTCACCTAGTTAGATGTCTGCACGTAACAAATTGTTTTCTGTTCGTAAACCCTATGCATACAAATACAGCCTTCTGTATGATGATCTTTATGATGGTCTTTAATCATAGCTAGCTGGCAGGAGTTCCTTACTAACTTTTTGCACACTGCTTGTGTTCCCCCCCACCCCTTTTGTTTTGAGACTGAGTCTCCCTCTGTTACCAGGCTGGAGTGCAGTGGCATGATCTTGGCCCACTGCAACCTCCACCTCCCGGCTTCAAGCTATTCTCCTGCCTCAGCCTCCTGAGTAGCTAGGACTGACTATAGGTGTGTGCTACCATACCCGGCTAATTTTTTATCTTTTTGGTAGAGACAGGGTTTCACCACGTTAGCCAGGATGGTCTTAAGCTTCTGACCTCGGCCTCCCAAAGTGCTGGGATTACAGGTGTGAGCCACTGCACCCAGCTCTGTGTTCCCATTATTATGCATCTGACTGATTCACTGGTACCTTTTATTATCCTTCTATCTACCTGGACATTGTTACTTGACCTGAATTATCTGAAATGACAAGTTACTTTCAGGATAAAATGTGATTTTTATAACTTCTTTCTATAACTTAGATTAAATATCACCTAATGTATGTGATTTTTAAAAAATACATGATATTTTGGCTGGGTGTGTGACTCACACCTGTAATCCCAGCACTTTGGGAGGCTGAAGCATGTGGATCACTTGAGATCAGGAGTTTAAGACCAGACTAGCCGACATGGTGGAAACCCCTTTTCTACTAAAAACACAAAAATTAGCCAGGCATGGTGGTGCACACCTGTAGTCCCAGCTACTCCAGAAGCTGAGGTGGGAGGATCGCGTGAGCCAGGAAGGTTGAGGCTATGAGTTGTCATCACACAACTACACTCCAGCCTGGGCAACCAAGTGAGATCCTGTCTCAAAAAAAAATTTTTTTTAATTAAATATTGAGCAAATAATCATGCAGAAGTAACATCTGGGAAGAAAAGATAGAAGAGAACCTGAGTGAATGATTGGTCTCACTCCACTGGTAAAAATGTTCAGACATTGACATTCCTAAGACAGCCAGTAGTGGTTCTGATCTTTGCCAGTTAAGAGGCTTATCGCTGGGCACGATGCCTCACACCTGTAATCCCAGCACTTTGGGAAGCCAGGGCGGGCAGATCATCTGAGGTCAGGAGTTTGAGACCAGCGTGGCTAACATGGGGAGACCCTGTCTCTACTAAAAATACAAAAACTAGCTGGATTTGGTGGCACATGCCTGTAGTCCCAGCTACTCAGGAGGCTAAGACAGTAGGACAATCACTTGAACCTGGGAGGTGGAGGTTGCCATGATCCGAGATCATGCCACTGTTTTCCAGGCTGGATGATAGAGTGAGACTCCGTCTCAGAAAATAAATAAATAAAATAAAATTTTGAAAAAGGGGCATTTTGCACTGCTTTTGCTTGATAACTTTCTCCTTGTGGCCCTTACATTGGGTGGGGGATGGAGAAGAGGGGAGAGACATTTATGAGAGATATAAAATTCAGCTCTCCCAGCAGTGCAGGGCCAAGGCAGTCATTGATTAGTAACTGTCTCTCTGGTAAGACAGGCGTGGCTAGGTGTCCAACTGGTCCCACAGGACCCTGGGCACGCTGGTCCCTCAACTCACGGACACCTTTCCAGAGTTCTTCCTCCCTTCCAGACTGCCACTGCCTCCTCTGTGAGCTTACCCGTTTCTGCCTCCCAGCTCCCAGCTCAGTGTTAGTGCTCCCTAAGGTTCTATCCTAATCCTCTGCTCTTCTCTGACTGCTGTCACTGGGGAACCTTGTTTCTTCCCTTTGCTTCTGCTAACAGATCTGTCTCCTGAGCCACGAGCCCCTACTGGACACAGCAAGCACAGTCTTGACCGTTTATCAAGCATCCACTCTGTGCCAGCCATTTGACTAAAGGCTATTTCTTCAGATGTAATTACAAACAGTGAAAAGGACATGGCCGCACACGGGACAGTTTAGTGCATCTGGACAAATGTGATATCTACATACCAACACCCAGTTCTATACTTTGTCTTTTAAAAATTTCAAGTCAACTCAACTTGTGATTCCCATTTTTATAGTTGAAGAAACACACTAGCTAGATGAAGATGAGTGGTTTGAGTGAGGTCACACGTTAAATTTATGGGGGAGCTAATTACAGTACTGATTCGACTTTTCTAGAAGGTAAATACCCTGCTTTGTATGATAAGAACTCAGCATGAACGATAAGAAACCAGCATGTTCAAAGCTGCACTTGGTGTTTCTTTGATTCAGTTACAGCTATTAATTCCTAACTATCCTATATAGAAAGGGAACTTAATTGGCTCATGTAATAGAGAAGTCCAGGAAGATCTTCAGGCACAGTTTGATAAAGGTTTACATGTCAGAGCTCCATTTTTCTGACAGTACTTCTGGACTCTGCTTCCTCTGTTTTGAATTAATATAGAGGCACTCTTTCCCCACAGTGGTCAGAGGCCTCCTCAACTCCCCTACAGACTCATTTAAATCTTGCCAGGAAGGAGGAGGGAGGGGAGTTAGACAATGTGCTTAAGTCAATATCTTATTCCTACTTTTCCCTGGAATTCTTTTACCCAGTATTAAAAATTCTGGTGTCAGGGTGTTATCATAAATAATGTATAGTGTAGTGACTTTATAATTCTTTTAATAGAGAAAGAATGAAATCTGGGCCACATGCAGTGGCTCACACCTGTAATCCCAGCATTTTGGGAGGCTCAGGTGGGTGGATCACCTGAGGTCGGGAGTTCGAGACCAGCCTGATAAACATGGAGAAAACCCGTCTCTACTAAAAATACAAAAAGAAAAATTAGCCGGGCATGGTGGCGGGCACCTATAATCCCAGCTACTCGGGAGGCTGAGGCAGGAGAATCACTTAAACCCAGGAGTCAAAGTTGTGGTGAGCCGAGATTGCACCATTGCACTCCTGCCTGGGCAACAAGAGCAAAACTCCGTCTAAAAAAAAGGGAACGAAATCTGTTTAAAGAGAAGTTCTATTTGTTCATTTACTTCTCTAAGCATATGTTTTCATTCTCAATGATCATATTTGGCCATAAAATCCAGAAGACAGTTTCTAAATTTAGGGAAAATACAGGAAAGAAACCAGCTTCCAGACCCAACATATTGCCAAAAACCTAAGACAATATTGTGCAGTACAATTTTACGATATTTTTTTTTTTTACTAAATGTGTTGTAGTTCAATCAGATAATCAATAAGAATAAAATTTCACTATGAATTATAAAAAGAATGTTTAGTATAAGCCAGGGATTTTTTCTTCTGCCTGTGGGACCAGCTGGACACTGGGCCGGGTTTGTCTTGCCAAAGAGATAGTTACCAACCAATGACTGCCTTGGCCCTGCACTGCTGGGAGAGCTGAATTTTTGTATTTTTGTATCTATCTCATAGATATATCTCTCCCCTCTTTTTCTCCATCCCCCACCCAAGGTATCCTCTTCTTCTCCTGAAAATATTATTTTTTATTAGATGAAACAACCTCATTGAAAAGTAGTTTCCCCCAGAACACTAAAATGTTAACTGTTGCTCTCGTCAATGCTTCTAGGGAATGGAAGACATCCTACGCTGCTTCATCAAAGAAGGCAATGCCGAAATGATCCGCCAGATAGAATTCATCATCAAGCAGCTTAATTCTGGTCAGTTTAATGCAAGAATCTTTGATCTCTCTTTTGAATTGTTCACATTGCCAGCAAGACACATGGCCTTTTATTCAAGAGGCCTTTAGGAGGCCGGGTGCGGTGGCTCACATCTATAATACCAGCACTTTGGGAGGCTGAGGCAGGTAGATCATGAGGTCAGGAGTTCGAGACCAGCCTGACCAATATGGTGAAACCCTGTCTCAACTAAAAATACAAAAATTAGCCCGATGTGGTGGTATGCGTCTATAGTCCCAGCTACTCGAGAGGCTGAGACAGGAGAATCGCTTGAACCCAGGAGGCAGAGGTTGCAGTGAACAGAGGTTGTGCCACTCCAGCCTGGGTGACAGAACAAGACTCCTTCCCCACTCCCCCCCCGCAAAAAAAAGCCTTTAGGGAGGTGGGGAGACCCAAATGAATCCACAGACAGAAGTTCAGCCAGGTAGTCAAGGCCAGATTGTCCAAAGATTAACAATCTCTTATCATACTCTAGGTATATAGTCAACAAAAAGAACTTAAAAGCATTTCCAGAAACCCTTCCCTAACCTTGTAAGTTCTCTTTATGTGGCCTCTCCCTTTCCACTCCTAAATCCTGCCCCACTTTTAAGGTGGCTTCCCCAGGGTCCTGGAGTCAGATAATGAAAACAAATGCACTGTAGGAAACTTCATTATCTTCCCACATTTTTCATTCACTCTGGAAAAATGATGTTGCCAACTACAGTGTGGAAGGAGCCAATGTGATCCCCTATTTTTGTGTGTGTGTGACGGAGCTTGCCTTGTCGCCCAGGCTGGAGTGCAGTGGCATGATCTTGGCTCACTGCAACCTCTGCCTCCCGGGTTAGAGTGATGCTCCTGCCTCAGCCTCCCGAGTAGCTAGGACTACAGGCGCCTGCCACCATGCCTGGCTAATTTTTTTGTATTTTTAGTTGAGACAGGGTTTCACTATTTTAGCCAGGATGGTCTCGATCTCCTGACATCTTGATCTGCCCGCCTCAGCCTCCCAAAGTGCTGGGATTACAGACGTGAGCCACCGCATGGCAATAATACCCTTTCTATCCTGCCTCCTCCATTACCGTAACCACCCACATCCCATAGTAAGCAGAAGAGAGGAAGGCCAGGAAGCCTGGGATGGGGCAGGGGCGGTGGGGAAAGCTCCTTGGCTCTTTCTGTGAACTGACATTGTTCACCTGCCAGAGGTACCAAGCACTGCTAGGATCCAGGCCAGGTTTGTCGCTGTGTCTCCATGCCTTTCCCTGATACCCAGCAGTCGACATCACTGCAAGTCAAGTGCATGAATCCTTTCTGCACATGAGCAGAAAGTGAGGAGTGAGTCTCCTGGTCTCTACTCACAGGTCAGCTGCTCAGCCAAGGCCGGAAGCCCTCAGGTGGCCTTTCTTTGAGCTCAGGGTTCACAGTCTGGCTGTACAGGGTGGTCACCTGGGGGAGATATTTAAATCTTTGAGATAGTACCCCACACAAATTTAATCAGAATCTCTCAGGGAGGGGATTTCAAGCTCCCAAAGGAGTCCCACATGCAGCCACGCCAGAGCATCAATGCCTGGGTCGCAGAAACGAGGATGTCCAAGGGGCTTCCAATCAAAAGGAGGCATCTGAGGAGAGGAGCCAGGGAGCTTTGAAACCTTTGTCCTTGTTAGGCTGGGTCTCAATTTACATTGAATATCTCTTCTTTGGGTTATATGGAGCAGCTATAATTCATCCCAAAAGAACTTTATTTTCTGCCAGTAACTTCATTTCTGACTCTCAACCTTCATTCTAGCATATTGAAAAATAAAATAAAACCTGAAGCTCAGTCCTGCCTGAGGTTGCTCTCTTGCCTTCTCTGGGCAGGCCACAGCATCGGGGGAGGGGAGGATTGTTGCATCTGCATCATAGTCGTGAGCTATGCCCAGCCCTCCCAGGCCAGGAGTTCTCTGCATTCAGACTGAGAATCTTCTTCAAGACCACCGGTGTGTTTTAGTCCACTGAGATACATCCGTCTCCTTGTCTTCCCTCCTTCCTGGCAGCCAAGCAGCAGGATGCAGGCGCCTTTTACTCTCTGGCCCAACAAACATCTTTTTCTCTTCCATAAGCCTGGCCCTTGGACAAGCCTGCTAGAGTGGGATGAGGAGACACTTTACACTTTTGTAAGGGATGTCTCTGGAAGAAATTGTCTTGGGCAGAGCTAAAGCTTTATAACCCTGGGTATTCTGGAAGGCTTGAGAAATACCTACTTAGCTCATCAAGTTATTGTTTCAATAGAGGGCCTAAAGTATTTCTCTTTCCATCTCAAGCACCTAAGTTATCTGTATCCACATAGGAGCCCACCACTTTGAAACAAAATGTCATAGTGATTGAACATTTGGATGGAAGACCAGACATACAAGTGCTCAGGATATCCATCACCAGCATCAAATCAAAGTGGAACCCAGAGGGCAGCCTCTGTCCTGTCTTCATCCTCACGTGGAAATTAATGGCAGAGTGCAAATTGTTGCTAGTTTACCAGTTCTGAAGATGTAAGAAATGGCATTGCCACCATCTTTATTTAGACTGTGCATTTCCTTGTTTTATTTTAGTAAACATGAAAACATCTCTGTGGGTTTTCACACATCCAAGCCCAGTCTCAGTCTTCTAGAATGATTTTTCCAGTAAAGTTTTAAGGTCTTCAAGTATTAAAATTCAAGTATATTTTAGTGACCTAACCCCACAGGTAGGAAGGACTATTCTGGCAAAGCCTAAAGGAAAATTCTATCTAGTGACATTGACAATGCAGGGTGAGCTGCCAGCAGCAACAGCAGGGAGGTTGGTCCCTGGCTTGGGCCTGGACCACGATGCCAACCCTCAGCGAGGGGAACCAGCACCAGGGAGACAACAGAGGCACCAGCTAGGTCACTGGGCAGGAGCAAGGCAGAGCACCCAGGAAAGGAATTGATACTGGCCATTCTAGCCCCACGCATGTTAGTTACCTGAGTGCGGGCACCTGTTGGAGTGTGCACCAGGGAACAGGATGGGAGACAATCATCCCAGAGAGGAGCTGAAGTCTATAAGGCACTTCACTTCTCAGGCCAGATTATTCTGGTAGTGGGATGAGTCTGAGTCTGCAGGCTGAGAAGTTATGGGGTCAGGAGGGGAGTTGGGTAGAGGAAGCAGAGAAAGAGAAGTGTGGCTGGGTTGTCTTTTGCCTTACAAAACAGCCAAGAATCTTAAAAAAGGCATTTCTGTATTCTAAAATGAGCAGTTTATAACTGCTGAGTACAGTGGCACTTCCTGACGGTAGAATGACGTGTGCTGTTTATGGATAGAGAACTTAGTCGTTAAACCTCTGCCAGAAAGCAGCGGCATCACATCTTCATGTCTGCAAAGTAGCTTTCTAGACTACATGACATTCCACAACAATGCTGCCACATGGGGGCCTGCAAGCCCCAGTGAGGGGGACCACTTGGTGTCTCCCCTGTACTCAGTCCAGTGAAGTCAGTGGAGTCCTTCCCTTTAGAATGAGGGCTGGGTTGAGAACATGGGTTTCTAAGTCTTCCCTCCTGGGAAGGGTTTGGTGTTTGATCAAATGTGGGTGCATCTGCCCGCCACCTTTACAAGCTGGGTGCTCTCCTCAAGCATGGCCTTTGGTTCCTTCTTTTCTCCTACTTCCTGTCTGACTTCCTTTCTTCTTTCAGGCTTTCTTTACCTTCATGTCATTTGTTCAAGAAACAAGTGCTAATAAGGAAGATGTAGTAGGGATAGAGGGAGGAGTAAGTCAGCTGCTCTGTCCCCAGGGACTCACAGTCCGGTGCAGTGGGTGGGAGACCAGTCGGCGGGCATTCATTTGTTAATAAACAGCAATCTTCCAGAAGTGGTGTGAACTGTCAGGATTTCTAGACAAAGTTCCGAGTGTGTTCAGGGGAGGAAGAGATGGCTGCTGAGCAAGGGGATCAAGGAAGGCTGCATGGAGGAGAAAGCACCAACACCCTGGGCCAGGTGCCTTCCTTGTGGTGTACTGTGCAGTCCTCCCGACAACTGTGAGAAGTGGCTGGTACAATCCCCACTCTACAGGGCAGGAAGCAGGGGCTCTTTCTTTCTGCAACTCCATTGTGCTACTAACTTATCGCTCCTTTGTAAACTCTTAAAAAGATCTAGCAGTCGAATGCAGAGCCTTCAGGAACCCTACCTGCCATGACCACCACTCATGCTGCCCGTGGAAAAATCATGGAGTTTAGAAACAGACTCGGCTTGAGACTCGGCTCTCTACCATTTACTGGAAGTGAGACCAAGGGGAAGTCTCTGTCCTCTCTGTGCCTCTCTGTAAAATGGGGGATAATAGTCCACAGAATATTTGGAAGGATTAAGTAAAATAACAGGTGTGGCAGGATCTAGCATGATGCCTAGAAATAAATATTTGTTTACTTTCCTTCCCCTCAATTCTCCTAATATTATATGCCGGCTTTAATACTATAACCGTGTTCTGGTAAAAATGGCGAGATTTACTATTTGAAATTGCTTAGGATGATGTCATGGTTAGGAGCATGGTTACTCTGATGTAACCTCATTTCTCATTAAGGTGTTTATGTCTCTGCAGAGGCTGACAGATCCCAAGGCTTCCGCTTTATCCATTATTCACTGATTCTTATTTTCTTTGTAGAGGAGCTACCAGATGATGTTCTTGAATCTGATGATGATGAAGATGAAGATGAAGAAGTAAGTGGGAGGTTCTTGACACCACATAGAAAACGCATACCAAACTATTCTCTCTTTCCTGCCTTGACAAGTTAGTCCAGAAGTGGAGATTTTTAATTCCTGCTACATTATTTCTCAGTTCTGAGGGTTGGCTAAAGCTCAGCTGGGTGGTGGTTCAGGTCTCACTTGGGGTCTCAACGTGGAGGGCTCAGTGGCCATGTTTGAAGACTCCGACACTCTGGGTTCACAGCAGAGACGCCAGATTGCACATCATTCGGGTTTCATGGGAAGCTGGACAATGAGCATTCTTCTGTGTGAGCTGCTCTGAGCGGGCACGAGCCCAGCCTGCCTTCCTCACCAGTGGGAGTGCTAGGCGGGTAGGTGCCTGGCGAGAGTCTCTGGCATGAGGGGTCCTGGGTTCAGTTCAGAGCTGACGGAACTGACCAGTTTACTCTGCGATTTGCATTCTTTCGATTTATGTTTCCTCAGCTATGAAAAATCTACTTGCCTGGTATTTTAAATCAGGAAGGTTCAGAAGTTAATATGTGTGAGTCTGAATGGTGTAAAGAATGGTGACTCAGGAACTGTAGTTGGATTTTCAGGTGACAGGACTTTACATGGTTTTCCTTCAGACACCCAGAAAGAGAAGGCCCCTCTGGTCACACGTGACTTGCCTGCCTTCAGTGTGCGGGGAGCAGTTAGCCTGCAGTGAATGCTGGAGCATGTTTTCATCTGTTTGGGCAGGGAGCATTCACTGAAAAGGTGGATGTCGAGGATGTTCTTTTGTTTGGAGTTGTGGCCTCTCAGTTTATAAAATGTGTAAAAGCCAAGTTTTTGATCAACGGCATCCGCTGGGAAAGAGGTACTTAAGAGCCCCATGCTGAAATCTGGAGACGCTTCCTCAGCAGGTGGCCACGGTACCTGTGGCTTTCTTCTTGGGCTGCAGGTGGCATCAGTGGGTGGTACTCCTGCTGGCTCTTCCTGCCTTGTCCAGCAGTGCAGAGCTTGACTCCAGACAGGGGGCCTGGCCATTATCTTCTCCAGGCCCCTTGGTTTACCAAGGTGGAGCCAGAGAGAGAAACACCAGCCTGAACTCACACAGAGAGTGGATGGTGGAAAAAAGAAGATAGGAACTATTTTAGGGCCTGCAGGCCTAGAATAGTTCCAGCCACTGAGTTCTGCCCTTGTAACACAGAGTGGCTGTCAACGGTGCAAAAGTGGCTGAATGTGGCTATGTTCCTATAAAACTATTTATGGACACTAAAAATTTGAATTTCATACAATTTTTGTATATCATTAAATATTTTTTCAAATATTTAGAAACACAACAATCATTCTTAGCTGGCAGGCTTAGGAGAGCAGGCATCTGACGCGTGGGCCACGGTTTGCCAGCCCCTGGGCAGTTCTGGACTCGGAAGCCTTCTCTTGATTGTAATCAGTCACCACCTTTGTGCCTGGCCCTTCAGTATCATTCTGTGTGATAGTTTAAATGAAGGTTTAATTATTTGGTTTTAACAACTTTTTTTCATTGTGTCCAAAAGTTCCTCTCAAGATTTGTTTTTTTCCCTTCCTGTTTCATTCCTTTGGGTCTTTTTGTCTGCTTTGGTTTTCTGTTTTGCTTTGGTTTTGCTATGAATCCTCTGTTTTCATCTTATAAGGGAACATTCATTTGGTTCAACTGTTCTGGTTAATGACGAGAATTCAACTTTTGGACATTTCCTTCTGAAAGCTATTGTCTACTATAAACGAACAAATACAGAAAGAAGTCTTTTAATTTTCTGGACTTTTGCCACTCTTTTAAGAGGCTGATATTTGAAAATGCTTGTGATAGCTAGAATTTTCAGAAGATTCCTAGAAGAGGTTTAGTTGGAAAAATATAAGGAAAGGATCTGTCATCATTTGGGCCAAATGGGACTCTGTGATGAGTTATGGGCAGTAGATGGGGGCTCCTTCTCCCAGGTAGGCCTCACTGGGCATCGCCAGGGTCGGCAGTCAGCAGGGGCAGTCCAGGCACAGCCGGTCTTGTCTGGGTTTAACTCAGCTTTCACCAGGGCAAGCATTACATTTATAACTACCTTTCAAAGTTGGAGGGGAGAAAGAAAGAAACAGATCTTAGGCCAAATGGAAATTTCCAAGAATTCTTTGAGAAGCAGCACTGTTGTTGGAATGTGGTTATCACTTCCCAAGGTGACAGCTCTGAAGGAGACAGCGAAATTATTTGCAAAGTGTTGAAGTCATACCTTATCCTGCTTAGCAGTGTATATTTTCTTTCATTTAATATTTAGACTCAAAACACAGAAAATGAAACTACTGTTTTCAGTTAGCTGCTTAGTGACTCTAAAGATAAATGGTTCTAATGGGGCCAGGAACAGTGGCTCACACCTGCCATCCCAGCACTTTGGGAGGCCCAGGCAGGTGGATCATTTGAGGCCAGGAGTTAAGAGACCAGCCTGGCCAACGTGGTGAAACCTCATCTCTACTAAAAATACAATAATTAGCTGGTTACATGGTGGCGTGCGCCTCTAATCCCAGCTACTCGGGAGGCTGAGGCACGAGAATCACCTGAACCTGGGAGGCGGAGGCTGCAGTGAGCCAAGATCCTGCCACTGCACTCCAGCCTGGGCAACAAAGCAAGACTCCATCTCAAAAAAAAAGTGGCTCTAGTGGGATGAGGCCTGAGGCCAGGGTAAATTATGCTCACACTAACTCACTGAGCTGAAATCTGTGCAGCCACAGCTTCCACCACTGCTAGTCCTCCACTGGAAACTCTCAAGAGCACCCCCAATGCAAAGTCTAGTTTTTCTCTCTAGTTTGTAATGACTTGATCTAACATAGTAATCTAACAAAGATACGTGTGAATGTACATACATTTATACACTCAAATTAAAAATTTAAAGGTAGAGCTAGAAATGCATCTTCTGATTTATAGACTATCTAGGATATAGTGTCAAATAAAAAAAGGAAATCATAAAGTAATTGACCAGTGGTTTCGGTAAAAGCAAATGTATAAACACTCATGGCTGTGGATTATAGATGTGCTCATGTAGCAAAAAGGCGTGGAAAGTTACACCCTCTTTGTTGACATTAGAAACTGCAAGGGGGGAATAGGAACAAGGAAGTTTGGGTGAGAAATGCAGAGAGGCCCCGCGTCCTCTCAGGGGAGGGAAGTGAGAGCAGGACATAGGGTTTAGTGGTGCAGAAGTCAGATGCTGTGCATTTTTGTGAGTTGATGGAGCAAAAGCCAAATGAATGGATTGAGGAGCAGGTGTGAAGGGAGAAAATGGCACAAGAAGTGTATGCAGCTCCTCCCCCAGTCTGACTGTGCACGGAAGAGCAATGGTGGCTGAAGGGGGCATTTTTGTTTGTTTAAGATGAAAGAAACGTAAACATGTTAAAATGCTGATGGGATAGCTCCAGCTGAGAGGGAGAGCTTCAACATGCAAGGCAGGGAACAGTCTAGAGGATGGCATCGAAAAGATGGGTGTTTTTATTATTTTCTAAATCACAATACTTTCTTGGCCCACAAGGCCCCAGACCCATTTAAACCTCCTGAGAAAGAAAACCATCATTAGATCAACTTGGATAATACACCCCAGGGAATGGACAATGACAGCTGTTATTTAAAAAGTTCAAATGCATCTCATTTAGCACTTTGGAGAAATGTGTTACCTGAAGCATTTATTTCATATTAAACAGACGTAATATGTTACAAAAGGGCTGAAGGTAAATCACTAAGCTTAGGAGACTGGTTCCATTGTTCTCACCCCCAGTGGCTCCGGTTTCCTTACAATATCACAGCCAGTTTCCTTGTGTGGCTTCCTGAAGTAGAAATGCAAGGCCTTTCTGTGCCATTCTAGAAGACTGATTTTTAAGACAAATGTTCTTCCCCTTTGACAAAATAGGTTTAAGTTCCAGGTGAGGTTAGACATGGACATTTACTTGTTGGTTGCCATGTAAGTGACAATTATATGTTCAGCAATTTCCTTCTTTACAAACTTCTCAAATCTAAGAGTTGCTCATTTATTTACTCAACAAATATTTGAGGACCTCGAAATAACACTATTGTGGGAACTAATGGGGATGGGATGCAAAAGAAATCTAAAAGAGTGTCTGTGGTTTAAAATGCCTCCAAGAGTTTCCAGCCTAGGTAGGGAAGATCACGGTGATCCTGACAATGGCCGTTCCCACCTGCTGGCATTGCCACGTGCTAGGCACTGTTCTAGGTTCCTCATGGGTGTTCAGCCACCTCCTCTTCATAGCAACCCTAGAGTAGGTGCTACTTTATTCACATTTCACAGATGAGGAGACAGAGAGAAAACAGGCCACTTGCCAAGTTGACACAGCTAATAAGTAACTGATGAGGCTGGGATTCAAACCCAGGTGGTCTGACTCAGCAGTCCATGCTCCTAACCACTGCCCTGTATTGCCTTTTTGTGAGACATACATGAATGCAAAACAGCAAATAATAGGAAATAAATATGTGATTACAGGTTTATCAAGGTGATAAACACAGGAAGTGCTGCAGAAATTCCAAGTATTCGGGAATACTGGGAGATGGCTGTCTGGAGCAAGACATTGCCTAGCCTGGGATGGAGAGGAAGTGAGATGGGTCGAGGAAAGGAAGGGTGTGGTCAGGAAAGCAGGGGTGGCATCCTCTGTGGGAGAAAGCACAGGCACAAGCTTTATCCTTTGCCCCTCCGCTGCAGTCACATCAACACCCCCCCCAAGAAACCCATGTTAATGACTAGTATGTACATGTGCTTTCCTACTTACAAGATGCGCACGCAGAGAACACAAAGGTATGTACCGTACACAGATCTGTATATACTTTTGTCAATTTTTTTTTTACAAAATGAGATAACGTAGAGGCAGAAGCACACATACTTCTATACCATGTTGCCTTTTTCTCTCCTTCATGTTTCTGGAAAATCCTTCTGAGTTAGGCAGTGTAGCAAGTTGATGCTTTTTAATGCTATGAAGGTATAACTTTCTAGATTTTTGCTACTTCAAACAATGCGGTA